TTTTTTTTTTTTTTTTTTTTTTTTTTCTTTTTTGTTTTTTTTTGTCTCGCTTCTTCTTTTGTTTGTTTTATTTATTTATTTGTTTATTTATTTTGTTTGTTTGTTTATTTGTTTATTTATTTTGTTTATTTATTTGTTTGTTTGTTTGTGTTGCTCTATATCTATTTTGTTGTTTTGTTTGTTTTTGTTTTTGTTTGTTTTTGTTTGTTTTGTTTGTTTGTTTAATTATATTTATTATTTATTTATTTGTGTATTTATTTATTTATTTATTTATTTATTTATTTTTGTCTCTGCATCTGTATCTATGTGTTTGTTTCCTTTTGCAGCAGCAGCAGTAACAGCAGCAGCAGCCGCAGCAACAGCACCAGCAACAGCAGCAGCACAACCACCACTACCAGCAGCAGCAGCAGCAGCACCAGCAACAGCAGCAACAAGAGCAGCACCACCACCACCAGCAGCAGCACCACCACCAGCAGCAACAGCAGCAGCACCACCAGCATCAGCACCACCAGCAGCACCACCACCACCAGCAGCACCAGCACCACCACCACCACCAGCATCAGCAGCACCACCACCGCCAGCACCACCAGCAGCAGCAAAAGCAGCACCAGCAGCAGCAGCAGCAACAGCAGCAACAGCAGCAACAGCAGCAACAGCAGCAGCAGCAGCAGCAAGCTTACATGCTATTGCTGTCTGCTTCAAAAGCTGCTTTAAATTTAACCCATGCTTGCTTCTTAGCAGCAAATAAACAAAAAACTTTTTTTAGGCACCAATCCACAAACTCCCCCCCATCTCCTTTCTTTGTTTCTCCCATCTTCACAGCAGCAGCAGCAACAGCAGCAGCAGCAGCAGCAGCAGCAGCAGCAGCAGCAGCAGCAGAAGGAACTGCAGCAGGAGCTGCAGAAAGAACGGGAGTTCAGCAGCAAGGGGGAGGAGAGAAGGAAGGTAGAGATGCAGCAGCAGCAGCAGCAGCAGCAGCAGGGGGAGCTAGAGCAGGTGCAGCAGCAGCAGCAGCAGCTGCAGCAGCAGCAGCAGCTGCAGCAGCAGCAGCAGCTGCAGCAGCAGCTGCAGCAGCTGCAGCAGCAGATGTCTCAGGGGGCCCCCGGAAGCCCCAAGGCTCTCGGGGGGCCCTTACGAGCTGATCGAGTATCTGCTGCTGCTGCTGCTGCTGTTGCTGCTGCTGTTGCTGCTGTTTATACCGCTGCTGCTGCTGCTGCTGCTGCTGCTGCTGCTGCTGCTGCTGCTGCTGGGTGTGCAGGCAACCTCTGTCGGGGTTTAGCGGTGCTGTATTTTTTTTTTGTTTTATTGAGTTATTTGAGTTTATTAAAATATAAAGTTGCAGAGAAACCAACAAAAATTGCTGCGGTGTATGCAGGTGACCCTGAACAACCACCGCATGCAGCAGCAGCAGCAGCAGCAGCAGCAGCAGCAGCAGCAGGACAGCAGCAGCAGCAGCAGCAGCAGCAGCTGCAGCACCAATGGGTAGCGCGGCGCCCTGGTTTATAAATATATTTATTTGAAATATGTTTAACTCTTTATTTAAATAATATAATTTTGCTGTGCATGCATATTTATTATTATCATACCAGCAGCAGCAGCAGCAGCAGCAGCAGCAGCAGCAGCAGCAGCAGCAGCAGCAGCAGCAGCAGCAGC